TGAATATCACTGTTTCACCCTTTGCTTTTTCTTCGATGGTGTTTGGGCCAGAAAACTTCGGATTTACGTAGACGGTGGTTTGGCGGTCAGGAACCAGGACAAAGGCTGCTTGTGGGGGGTGCTTGGAACTTCCCACAGGCGCTGTTGCCTTCGCCTTTGAACTTCCTCCAGCCTCTATTGCCTTCGCCTTTGAACTTCCCCCAACCTCGATTGCCTTTGCCTTTCCTGCAACTTCGGTCACCTTTGCCTTTGCCTTTCCCGCACCCTGGGGTTTGGAAGTTCCCCCTGCTGATTTGGTTTTGGAAGGAGTGGTCCCTACCACTTTTATGATAAAACACTGGCAACTGCCAGCACAGCGATTTGGTCACTGCCTAGCCTTTTTATGAAATGAAATACATGGGCAAGGCTTATGAAATGCATCTCATTTCTTCCCAAGGCTTTATATCATTGCAATTTCATTTCTATTTCTTTCCTTCCTAGGATTTCATTTCATTTTTTTCCCCCACTTTATTTCATTCCTGTCTGGCACTATTTTTCATTGCGATATTTTGGTATTTCATTTCTGCCTAGCACCATTTTTCATTGCGATATTTTTGTATTTCATTCCTGCCTAGCACTATTTTTCATTGCGATATTTTGATATTTCATTTCTGCCTAGCACTATTTTTCATTGCGATATTTTGGTATTTCATTCCTGCCTAGCACTGTTTTTCATTGCTTGCCTAGGGCAATATTTTTGTTATTTCATTCCTGCTTAGCATTATTTTTCATTGCGATATTTTTGTATTTCATTCCTGCCTAGCACTATTTTTCATTGCGATATTTTGATATTTCATTTCTGCCTAGCACTATTTTTCATTGCGATATTTTGGTATTTCATTCCTGCCTAGCACTGTTTTTCATTGCTTGCCTAGGGCAATATTTTTGTTATTTCATTCCTGCTTAGCATTATTTTTCATTGCTTGCCTAGGGCATATTTCATTCCTCCCTATGGCCATTTATCATTCCTATTCAGGGTGATATTTCATTTCTCTCTAGGGCTATTTTTTTATTGCTTGCCCAGGGTGATATTTTTGGTATTTCATTCCTGCCTAGGTGAAAAACAGGGTAGGGATGATGACACCTGGGAGGGTAGTCACATGACCAATTACCAAAAATGGTCAAAAAATGAAAGTTGTAGCTCTACACTGTAGCTTCCCAAATGTGTTCAAATTATACTCTGAAGTGCTCCCATTGTGGAGATATGAGGTAAAGGATCTTCAAAAGCGTCGCATTTTTTTTTTGTTTTTTGTGTTTTTCTCCATGAAAACAAAACCAAACAACATGATTTCAGTATATTTAGAAAGCTAAAAGAAAGGGCTACAATTATTGTATCATGGGAAAATTGACCAAAAAAGGAATGTGCATGCCCTAGAAAAGAAATTGACACTGACAGACTATAAGACTCTACCATAGACTACAAAGTTAGGGTTAAAAGCTTATCCAAGACTACAAAGTTTGTAGTGTCCACTTTTCATCATTACAAAATTTTTT